AGGGGGGACATGATAGTGGTTTTCAAATATCTAAAAGGGTGTCACAAGGAGGAAGGAGAAAATTTGTTCCTCTTGGTTTCTGAGGACAGGACATGGAGTAATGGGCTTAAAGTGCAGCAGGGGAGGTTTAGATTGGACATTAGGAAAACATTCCTAACTGTCAGGGTGGTCAAATATTGGAATAAATTGCCAAGGGAGGTGGTGGAATCTCCCTCTCTGGAGATATTTAAGAACAGGTTAGATAGACATCTGTCAGGGATGGTGTAGACGGAGCTTGGTCCTGCCTTGAGGGCGGGGGGCTGGACTCGATGACCTCTCGAGGTCCCTTCCAGTCCTATTATTCTATGATTCTATGATTCTATGAGGCTGCTTTTCTGACAAAGCTAAGCCAAGTGTCTGTAGCCTGTTTCCTTTGTAAGCAGGGTCACAGATGCATGAACCAGCCAGGCTTATGGTTTTTCCCAAAAGGAAGCCGCAGGGCGCACGAATTTTGGAAAATGATTTCCGGAGCTGGTCAGGTGTCTGCTCCCTTTCTACTACTGTAACACAGATAAAACAGTGCAGAGGAAGCAGAGGCCAGGAATTCCCACTCTTTCAGATGACTTCAAAACGTAGACACTTTCCATGTTGACATCTAACCCCAGAATTCCCCGTTCCTTTGGCACTGAGCCTAGGTCTACTCAACACCTGGCACCCTTCTCTCCCTATGAAGCAGTGTGGTGAGAATGTTTTTCCTGTCACGTACAGTATCTCCACATTCCCAGGCAACACCAGACCCTGTGGTAGTTACTCCTGTTTCTCTTCCATTTTACAGCTGGTGCTCAAAGCCCCATCTTGCAAGGGGATTTTTATGTTCCCCCTTTTCATTCCACCTCCCTGGAAGTTCCCATTTTAAAGCTCAGAGTGAACTCGGGGTTGGAGTTCTGGATCTGGGCTCTCCCAAATTCTGATCAAGTCTGACTTTGGCTTCACCTTTGCACTGCATTGCTTGGCACTTCACTTGGTAACATCAAATGAAGACACGTTAAGAGGTCAATTTGAACAGAGCATGGTTTTGCTTTTGTCAGCCTTGTTTGCACTGACGGTGGAATTCTAAGAAGAAATCTAAAAATTTGCCCTTGTTCCTGGGATCATTGTGGGCATGAATCAGACAGGTAGAGGCTCCAGCATTTGGATCATGCAAGCTGTTTGTTCTGCAGGTCAAATTAAAAGGGAGGTCTGTGCCCTTTTGGATGTTTACTCATATATATAAACTATGTCTTTCCCCTCTTGGCCACTAGTTCAAATGGAAGCAATGCAGGAAGAAGCAGGCAGTATGTGCTATCTGGCTATTTGGTAAAATTAGCTTTATGTCCATTTTATTCAACAAGTCTCCACATCACAACTAGCCCTAACTAGTTTGTTGGAGTTCGCAGTGGAAAGGGCCGAGAATTGACTGGGCAGAATCAGAGCCACTTTCTCAACCAGTCCTGTCAGTGACTCTGTAGATGACCTTGGTGTGACGTAGTGGGGGTACCTGGCTGGTTTCTATGCTGCTGGCTCTGGGGGACCCCCCACTGGCTGCCGTGGGTACCACGACCCAGCAAAACAGGATGAGTCACTATGCAAACCAGTGGCCAGACACCCCCCATGGAGAGGAACAAAGGAAGGTGGAATGCTGCCTTGGCTGGGGGGCAGGGCTGGAAGTTAGTTCTGAGGACAAGACAAGGAGTAATGGGCTTAAATTGTAGCAGGGGAGGTTTAGATTGGACATTAGGAAAACATTCCTAACTGTCAGGGTGGTCAAATATTGGAATAAATTGCCAAGGGAGGTGGTGGAATCTCCCTCTCTGGAGATATTTAAGAACAGGTTAGATAGACATCTGTCAGGGATGGTGTAGACGGAGCTTGGTCCTGCCTTGAGGGCGGGGGGCTGGACTCGATGACCTCTCGAGGTCCCTTCCAGTCCTATTATTCTATGATTCTATGAGGCTGCTTTTCTGACAAAGCTAAGCCAAGTGTCTGTAGCCTGTTTCCTTTGTAAGCAGGGTCACAGATGCATGAACCAGCCAGGTTTATGGTTTTTCCCAAAAGGAAGCCGCAGGGCGCACGAATTTTGGAAAATGATTTCCGGAGCTGGTCAGGTGTCTGCTCCCTTTCTACTACTGTAACACAGATAAAACAGTGCAGAGGAAGCAGAGGCCAGGAATTCCCACTCTTTCAGATGACTTCAAAACGTAGACACTTTCCATGTTGACATCTAACCCCAGAATTCCCCGTTCCTTTGGCACTGAGCCTAGGTCTACTCAACACCTGGCACCCTTCTCTCCCTATGAAGCAGTGTGGTGAGAATGTTTTTCCTGTCACGTACAGTATCTCCACATTCCCAGGCAACACCAGACCCTGTGGTAGTTACTCCTGTTTCTCTTCCATTTTACAGCTGGTGCTCAAAGCCCCATCTTGCAAGGGGATTTTTATGTTCCCCCTTTTCATTCCACCTCCCTGGAAGTTCCCATTTTAAAGCTCAGAGTGAACTCGGGGTTGGAGTTCTGGATCTGGGCTCTCCCAAATTCTGATCAAGTCTGACTTTGGCTTCACCTTTGCACTGCATTGCTTGGCACTTCACTTGGTAACATCAAATGAAGACACGTTAAGAGGTCAATTTGAACAGAGCATGGTTTTGCTTTTGTCAGCCTTGTTTGCACTGACGGTGGAATTCTAAGAAGAAATCTAAAAATTTGCCCTTGTTCCTGGGATCATTGTGGGCATGAATCAGACAGGTAGAGGCTCCAGCATTTGGATCATGCAAGCTGTTTGTTCTGCAGGTCAAATTAAAAGGGAGGTCTGTGCCCTTTTGGATGTTTACTCATATATATAAACTATGTCTTTCCCCTCTTGGCCACTAGTTCAAATGGAAGCAATGCAGGAAGAAGCAGGCAGTATGTGCTATCTGGCTATTTGGTAAAATTAGCTTTATGTCCATTTTATTCAACAAGTCTCCACATCACAACTAGCCCTAACTAGTTTGTTGGAGTTCGCAGTGGAAAGGGCCGAGAATTGACTGGGCAGAATCAGAGCCACTTTCTCAACCAGTCCTGTCAGTGACTCTGTAGATGACCTTGGCAAAGTCACCTAGCCCCTCTCTCCAGACCTCACTATGAGCTGTATAAGGAGAATATCCCTTACCCATCTTTGCAAAGTGCTTTGAGGTGACACAAGGTGCTAGACAATTGCAAAGTTCTACCTATCACTCCTTGATCTCAACACACTTCACAAAAGTGATTAGGAGTCATTACCCTTGTTTAGCAGATGGGCAAATTGAGGCTTGGGGAGGCTACAGGACACTCCTGGCAAAGCTGGAGCTAGAGTCCCTATCCATAGATTCCCTGTGTGAATTGATATGCATTCAGGTCAGAGCGCCCTGAATTTCCTCTTTGAGTGAAGCCTGTAGAAGAAGCTTGAACAGTCACTGCCTGTGCTATATGATGTGGACAAGGAGGGTGCTTCCATTTCCAGATCACGTGGAATGTTTTACTAACCCTGAAGAAGGAGTAGAGAGGTTGTTTCACCTCTGTATTTAGCATCAGTCTGACCACTGCTGAAATACTATGTCCCGTTCTGGTGCCCACAGTGGGCACCAGAAGAATTGGAGAGGGTTCCAGGGAAAGCCAGGAGGACAGACCTTATAGCGATAGACTCACAGAACTCAATTTCTTCAGCTTAACAAAAAGAAGATGACTTGACGACCATCCACGAAGTATCTGCATGGGGAGCCCCACTTCCTAGCACATTGCCCATGCCAGCCCTTTTAACTGCTTCTATTTAAAGGGCTCGCACCTTCCCCGCAGCTGCCGGGCAACACGTTGCGTGACAGGCACAGGAAAGATGTGAGCCCTTTAAATAGATGCAGTTAAAAGGGCTTGCAAGTCCCGGCTCCCTGGCAACATGCTAGTAGTGCTGGGAGCTGCGAGCCCGTTTACCTGCTTCTATTTAAAGGGCTCGTGCCTTCCCCAGGGGTGTCCAGAAGGCGCGAACCCTTTAAATAGAAGCAGTTGAAGGGGCTCATGTGTCCCTGGCTCCCAAACAATGTGCTAGCAGCGAGGCCAGGAGCAGTGAGCCCTTTAAATGGCAGGAATTGAAAGGGCTCTCAGCTCCTGTCCCCCACTAATGTGTTGCCTGAGAGCCACAGGGGAGGTGTGAGCCCTGTCAACTCCTGCTATGAAAGGCCCACCCCTTCCGTCTGAGGCCCTGCCCCTTCTGGGGTGGCCCATGACCACTTCAAAAATCTTTGAAGTGGCCCTGGTCAAAAATTATTGCCCACCCCATCTCTTGAAGCTTGAGAGGAAACCCATTCCTCCTCCATTGCTCTTCCCTGCAAGACCTCGAATACTATTGTAACAGTGGCGAAATAAGTATTTCTGCTTGACATCAGCTGAGAAGCTGGCTGAGTTTTCAATATGTACTAAAAATGGACGTGAGCACACCCCAATTTTGGGGAAACGCAACGCCAAACTTGAATTTGGGCCAAACTCCAATTTAAATAGCAGGGTGGTGGCACACTTTGGAACGTATACAGGTACAATCTCACTGAAATGTGGATACGTTTGCATGCAAGAGAGGGAAGTAAACAACTACCCCACTCAGTGGGGTATTAGCCCAGGACCTGGGGACAAATGTTCTCTCTTACCAAAACTGGAACGGGTACTTTAACAGCCTTCTAGAGCAGATCCAACCTTCAGGTTTAAGATCACCTCCAAAAGTAACAACAAAGATGTGAAGATAACCAGATTTGTCCATCCTCCCATAGGATATCAAGGCTGGGTGCAGTAAGGGTTGCAACTGGGTAGTTCTTATTTTATTGCGGCTATTTTGCCCTCCCCTGATTTCAAAATGTAATAGTCATTAATATTCATTGGACTTCATTGCATGATAATTGCCCATGTGCTGTGTTGAATCAGGGTGAATCTGTAGAACATAACTAGAAAAGCTGTAATATTGCTGGTTGTTCTTTTCCCCACCAGATGACATCTCCCCACCTCCGTCTACCGTTATCGGCCAGACAAAAACGTTAGCCAAAGTGACCTTCAGTCCCACCATTGTACAGCAAAACCAGATTGCCCGCAATGGCATTCTGGGTGATTTTATCGTTCGATATGATGTCAACAGGGAGCTAAGTGTTGGAGATGTGCAGGTACAGTACACATGCCTGACTTTCCTTGTGTTATTAACAATACCAGAGGTAGCTGATTGGTGTTGGATGCCCACATTCCATAACTAATTTTCACCAAATGAGCATCATTTCTGCTGCTTGTAGGAGCCTAAAGACCACACCTAAGTGGTGTAACATTGCCAGATGGCAGCCCCTCTTACTGCCAGCCCCACTGATTATTAACTTCCCCTTTCTCTAAAAAAAAAAAAAAAAAAAGCATAGGATTGTGCTTAAAAATCATGATTTTTTTTTTACATAACAAAAAATAATTTTCATTCCCTTTTGGTTTCTCAGCCACTAAGGTGTCCTTGTTTGCAGGCTAGAAACTTACTTTTTTGATGGACATAAAAGCTGAGATTCATAGAATCTAGAACTGGAAGGGGCCTTAAGAGGTCATCAAGTCCAGTTCCCTGCACTCAAAGCAGGATCAAGCATCATCTAGAGCATCCCTGACAGATGTTTATCTAACTCGCCCTTAAATATCTCCAGTGATGGAGAGTCCACAACCTCCCTAGGCAATTTACTCCAGTGTTTAACCACTCTGACAGGAAGTTTTTCCTAATGTCCAACCTAAACCTCCCTTCCTGCAATTTAATCCCCTTGCTTCTTGTCCTAACCCATGCCTCCCTTTGGAGACACATGCAGGTTGATCCTGGCAGTTGAGTCTTTAAGAAACATCCACTATTGTGACACTCGTGATCCAGTTCTCAAAGCCGGCAACACTAGCATCCCGTATCTTGAATGTGACTCAGAGGAGGCAACTTGTTCCTGCATGGGATACTCCATCTTTAGCTGAGTAGCTTCCTTCTGGATCATTGCATGCTGGAATTTGTAGTCCACATTTTTATAATCAAGATGAGGGTGGTCATTATTCAGCTCACTGGACCATACGGTGGCTTGACTTGTCACAGACTATGTGTTCTTCATACACCACCGATATGCAACACCGATGAATGGATCCCCTAGTGCTACATAAAAACATCTGTACCTGCAGGCAACTAGCTAAACGCCACATGATAAATAAGCTAGCACAAACTGTCCAAGCATAGCCTTTATCTGTTGAAGTTAAAGCATGACATGAAAGGGGACAATGGAAAATTTGCCTGTAAGAAAGCAGTCAAATCCAAGTCACCCAGCAATTTTACCCACAGACCTAGCAATTTTTCACCTGCGCTCAATTGCAAAGATTAGCCAATGATTGATTTCGTGAACAGAACGCAAATAGTTAGGGTTGCTGGCTCTAAACAGGCACACCAGGAACAATATCCTTTGTAACTGTTCCAGCTATGCTGAAACAAATTACCCCATGTGAAGACCCTATTTTGAGGGCTACAGTGGGATATGGCCAGCCACAAGGCGGTGCACAATGCCGTGGCATGCAGGTGCACTTTGGACAAAGTGTGTATGTATGTTTTTAAATAGATTTATGGATTCCAAGGCCAGAAGGGGCTGTTGTGATCTTCTAGTGTGATCTCCTGCATAACACAGGCCACAGAACGTCCCCAAAAGAATTCCTAGAGCCAGGCCCGCTGACGAACAGTGGGAAGGCAGAGGGACCTGGTGATTCAAAACCTTCCAGAGCCCTCTAAGTCCCTGCTGGAGTGCTGCAAGCCATGCTCTGGGAGGTTTTGGGGCTGCCTGGAGAGCCAGGCAGCGCTATGAGCCAGCTGTCTTCAGTCCCACCCCTTCTGCCTGAGGTCCACCCCTTCCAGGAGCATGGAGCCAGATCTGCCTGCTCCAATCCTGCTAGAGCAGATCTGTTAGCCAAACATCCAATCTGGATTTAAATCTTACCAGTGATGGAGAATCCATCATAATCCTGGATAAATTTTTCTAGCGCTAATTACCTTTGCTGTCAAAAATATACGCCTAGTTTATATGTGTCTCACCAGTTCTATTCAATATCTTCATCAGCAATTTAGTTATCAGCATAGAGAGTACACTTATTAAGTTTGCAGATCATAGAATCATAGAATCATAGAATAATAGGACTGGAAGGGACCTCGAGAGGTCATCGAGTCCAGCCCCCCGCCCTCAAGGCAGGATCAAGCTCCGTCTACACCATCCCTGACAGATGTCTATCTAACCTGTTCTTAAATATCTCCAGAGAGGGAGATTCCACCACCTCCCTTGGCAATTTATTCCAATATTTGACCACCCTGACAGTTAGGAATTTTTTCCTAATGTCCAATCTAAACCTCCCCTGCTGCACTTTAAGCCCATTACTCCTTGTCCTGTCCTCAGAAACCAAGAGGAACAAATTTTCTCCTTCCTCCTTGTGACACCCTTTTAGATATTTGAAAACCGCTATCATGTCCCCCCTTAATCTTCTTTTTTCCAAACTATGATGATATGACTTGTTGCAATTCCAGGGGCACCCTTCACCAAGACCAGCTTCCCCTTGCACTGGGTGCTGTGCAAACCCCACCTCCTGAAGTCATGAGAATCTATGACAATTTTCATTTTTCAAGGAGGATAGGGCTATAATTCAAAATGATCTGCACCAACTGGAGAAATGGTCTGAGATAAATAAGATAAGTTCGTTAAGGACAAATGGAAAGTGCTCCACTTAGGGCGCAAACAATCAGTTTCTCCCATACAAAATGTGAAATCATTGTTTAGGAAGCAGTCCTGGCAGAAACAGATCTAGGGGTGATAGTGGACCACAAGTTAAATATGAGTCAACAGCATGACACTGTTGTAAAAAAATAAAAAAAGCAAACATGATTCTGGGATGCATAATAAGAGTGTTGTGAGCAAGCAGCCGCTCAGGAGGTTCCCTCTGGTTAGCAGCTCCTTGCAGTTCTTCGCTCCTGGCCAGAACCAGAATTTCAAATGGTTATTAAACTTCAACATTGTGACAAGCTGCCTAGAACAAAGCTAAGGACAAAGGGACATCGCCAAGCCTGCTTTACTGAAACTAGACCTCTGGGACAGCCAGGTACTGAACATGGATCTCCTCTGGTATCTAAAACGGAGTTACAAGGAGGAGGGAGAAAAATTGTTCTGCTTGATCTCTGGTGACAGGACAAGCAGCAATGGGCTTAAACTGCAGCAAGGGAGGTTTAGGTTGGACAGTAGGAAAACCTTCCTAATTCTCAGGATGGTGAAACACTGGAATAAATTGCCTACGGAGGCTGTGGAATCTCCGTCACTGGAGATATTTAAGAGCAGGTTACATAACATCTATCAGGGATCATCTAGACCTATGGTTCCCAACCTATTTGATACTGGGGACTGGCAAACCCTTTCACAAACTTTTGCCAGGCCAGCATGAATAAGCAAATATGCAAATAAAATGTTGCTGGCCCGGCAAAGTCTATTGACCACCCCGCCTAGAGTCTATCACTACTAGGCCTGTTTCTAAGCCTTCAGTCACTTTTGTGGCTTTTCTTTGAACCCTTTCCAGTTTACCCACATCCTCCTTGAATCGTGGCAGGTGGTTCTTCACCGTTTGTCATGAGACAACCTCGCTTCCTTGCTCCCAACTCTGCTTGAAATTCATGTTCAAGCCTTCGTCCTCTTCCATCTAGACCAGAGGTTCCCAGGTGTGTTTTGCTGAGCCCCCTGTTTCATTTGGGAGCCGGGGTGCCTAGTACTCATGGGGGCTCAAAGCAGGGGAGAAGGGCACCTAGTACCCCCAGGCAAGGCAGTACTCGCTCTGTCAGTCGAAGAAGCCTTCTTCTCTCGCAGCTGTTGGGTGGTCTTGGCTGCCAGGACTTAGCTCCCTGCCCATCTTGTTCCCACCTGCCCAAGGGAACCAAGGGGGCCATGTTGAAGGGGTAGAGTTGGGGGAGAAGGCTGCTCTCTGTGAGTACTGCGGGGCCCTGCCAGACATGGCCCCCTCCTGACCTTGTCCCTTCAGCATGGCCCTGTCCCTTTCCCCTGGCCTTTGCCCCTCCTGACCTTGTCCCTTCAGCATGGCCCTGTCCATTTCCCCTGGCAGGGGAGCAGACGCCCTGGCGTTGTGCTGAAGGGACAGGTTCAAGAGGGGGGGGGCTCTGTCTGACAGCTCTCCCGGAAAGCTGCCTTTGGCTCCCCACTCACAGAGCCACCACTGGGTAACTGCTGGCTGGGGGCTGCGGCAGCTGTGGCAACGGTGGATCAAGACAGGCAGGAAGCCTGGGAAGCTGAGACCACCCATGCAGAACCCCATCCACTTCTCTGGCAAGTAGAACTGCCTGCTGCCCTGGCCGGTCAGTGGGGAACTCCATTCATTTGGGAGCCTGCCCAAAGCCACCTGTCCTTGTCTTTGAACACGGCCTGGCTTTTCCCTCAATTGCCTCCACCATGCCCTGCTTCCGCTAGCCCTGTCTTGTCCTGTCTGTAGCTCCTGCCAGCTGGAACAGCCCTCCCTTCACCCTCCATATCACTACCTCCCCACCTCCTTTAAAGTCTCAGCTGAAAAATCTCTCCTCCCCCTTCAACCCAGGGCCATTTCATTCTTTTCTCCCGCCGCACTAACTCCCCACTGCACCAGGCAGCTGCGTCTAGCTCTGCCCAGCATTTGGGGACATCACTGGCACAAAACCAGCAAGGAGTCCAGTGGCACTGTAAAGACTAACACATTTATGAGGGTATCGAGCATAAGTGTTTGTGAGCGCTAAATACCCTAATACATTTCAGAGGGGTAGCCGTGTTAGGCTGTAACTTTACAAACAACAAGTAGTCCTGTGGCACTTTTGAGATTAACAAAAATATATATAGTGTCAGGAGCTTTCGTGGGAAAAACCCACTTCCTCAGATGAGCTGGAGTGGAAATAACAGGAACCCAGAATTTATAACAGAAAAGAAAGGGAGGGGAAAGAGGAGAGGGAAAGTGCCTGTCAATTGTAGAACCGGTGCTTATGAGACTAATTGAGTGGGCTGGAAGATACCTAATAAATGTGTTAGTCTTTAAAGTGCCTTCTTGTTTTTGCTAAAATAGACTAACATGGCTGAAACCTGTCATCCAGGTGGGTACAGAAGATACTATTCAGAATTAAGAATAGCTCCTGCTCCCATTGAGGGGCATGGCAAACCTCCTGTTGACTTCCCCGGGGCAGGCCCATGCGCTCCAGCTGCAAGTTGCAAAGGGGTCCGAGTGACAAGTGCGAGTGACAATCGTGTGACCTGCCACGTGTCCTTGACTTTTTCTCCCCTTCCCTCAGATTCTGAATGGCTACTTCGTGCATTACTTCGCCCCCCAGGATCTCCCACCGCTGCCGAAGAACGTCGTGTTCGTGCTGGACAGCAGTGCCTCCATGGTGGGAACAAAGCTCAGACAGGTGAGCCAGGGGACCATATGCCATGAAGAGCAGTTCGCTGGGAGGTTACCATGACAACCACTAAGGTTGGCAGATTGGCCACCAGGGCAAAGGGGAAATTAGGTGTCTAGTCCCCAGCACCATGAGGCCCTTGAAAGGAAGAGGAGGGAGAAGTTCTCTGAGCAAAATCCAGGCCTCCCTTTGAAGTCAATGACACAAATTCTTCTGACTTTAAGAGGGTGCAGATTTAACCCCATTCTGACAGCTGCATGCCCCCCACAGCTGTCACGTGGGAGCAACAGCCTGAGAAGGTGACTGGTCAGCCTAGAATCCAGGAGACAGCTTGATCCGTAGGACCACGGCCCTCCCAAATAGCTGCTTCCTTTCCCTTCATCTTGTCTCCTCCCCTTCTAGGCAAGGATTAGCGCAAGAGGCCCAGGCTGCTGAAGGACCCCAGCCTGTCTGATGACTGGACAGCCTGCAGCTTTACCTAGTACAGGTTTAACCATGGCCCATCAGGCATAATACCAGTCAGTTGCAGCCCGGCTAAGATGCTGTGGTGAGGGATTTGCACAGGGGTGGAAGCCAGCACGAGTTTGCCGGACAGTGCTTGGTCTGAGGAGGAGGCATGGCCTATGTGGGATTGGGATATATTATCATGACAGGTGAGTGACATAGAAGTAGCCCCGCCTAGCTCCTCTGGCTAGCTCCACTGGCTGCTGGCCTAGAGCTGTCCTCTGGAGGGTAATTTATTTGGCTGCCAATACTGGTGCTACCTTAGCACGTGCAAACCCTCTTCCTGAGCAGAGTCGTATCATGGATGTTATGTGCCCAGGGTCAAAGGCAAAATTTGTGCCCCTCCCCACCACCACTGCTGCGGGGCCCTGAACCTGACGCACAGCTGAGCCCATCCCTGGAATGAGCGGGTCATGTACAACGTCTGCCCCCACCCCCTCCAGTTTGGGGCCGGGCTCCCACATGCACTAACCTACTGGCGGAGATGGAGGAAAGTTGGGCTGGGGGCAGAGAAGCGGGGAGAAGGCTCCAGCTGGTGGTGGTGGGCGGAGGAGGAGCAGGCGAGCCGAGGGATCACAGGAGTAGTGGAGGGGGACTAAATTGCCCCTCCCAGTGTAGCACCCGGGGGCAACTGCCTTCCCCTGCCTCCCTTCGCTACGCCACTGGTCCTTAGTGTTGGAACCATGATTTTTAGGCAAAGCCGTAACTACGTGCAGCCCTTGAAAAGAGGCGGATGTGGACGGACGTGCTCCTCTGGAACCTCTACGGTTCCCCAATGTCCACGTAGCTTTGGACTTTCACAGAGTTTCCCTGTTGCGGCATCTTCTCCCTTCCTTGCTGAGCCCTGATTACCAGTGAAGTGCTCATCGGTGAAACAGCTCCTGCTGGCTCCTTCCATGGAGAGGCACGGACCCTACCCTCTGGGAAACCTCCCAGTCATTTTCTTTCCCCTGCTCCCAGTCTATGTATCTGTGTTTTAAATTCCGCTCTAACGAGGGAGCAGGGGGTTGAGTCTGTTTAGTGCAAGGAGCTGACTGATTTAGGAACAGGTCTCCCAGGGTTAATCCTGGACCAGGCTGTTTGGAATAAGAGCATGAACAAGCAACACTAATGCCACATAATCTTAGACCTTGTCAGGAGGAAAATAAAACCCTTTAGTGGTAAAAGGTTAATCCTTCAACCCAAGACAATTCACACCAACTCCTGGCAGGCTGGCCATTCAGTGCCTTAATCCTCTGGCTCAGCATTACATTGCTTGCTAAACCCTTTCTCCCCCCGCATCTTTCCAGCACACGGGACTAGTGGATGGGTTTGTCTGTCCATTCATCTCAAGAGACGACACAGCTGTTTTTCAGCCAAACCCAGCAGCAGAATATCAGAAGTCCATTAGCAAAGCAGCTTTCCCCTACCTATGTAGTTGGGCCAGGACTCGATTAATGGCCTGTACATCTTTATTTAGAACCCACCCTCATGCTGTCATTTACTTAGCTGCCTCTTTGCCATGCAAGCCCCAAGGGAGGCAATTCAATGTACTAAAAGTCACACTTGATTTTAGCCTATAAGAGCAGCAGTAAGATTGAATAGAAGCTTTGGCGTGATCGTTATGTAATGATATGAGCATGCCTGTTGTAAAATAGCTAATCGAGAGACAAGGACTGCCCAGGAACACACGGACAAAGGCAAATTTGTATGGTGGTGCACGAGTTCTTTTTCAGCTCCAGTGCTTTTCTTTTCACTAAGTACCAATTCCTCCGGCCTCTCTCTTTTCCAAGTGCTGCAGTCTTGAAAGAGACAGGACGTACAGCTTCAAATATATTTAGTGGCACCAGCTTGTCCATATAGAAGGCCCCCTTTCCGTGAAGGAAATGTCATCTACCATCATGTTGCCCATTCACCTAGCTTAGTTAGATCTGCCTGAAGTACTTTAGTCATATATGGACATCACTAACCCAAATAACTTTGTCTCACCTACCTCAGTGCTCACCCATTTTCCAGATTACTAATAAATACATTAAACAGCACTGCTGCGTCTAGACTGGAAAAACTTGCCAGCTATCTACGCTGGCCACTTGAATTTCCACAAAAGCACTGATGATCTCATGTAAGATTGTCAGTGCTTTTGCGGAAATACTGTGCTGCTCCTGTTCGGGCAAAAGTCTTTTTCCGAAAAATGTTTGCGCAAAAGGGCCAGTGTAGATAGCAGAGATGTGTTTTCCGCAAAAAAGCCCCGATCGCGAAAATGGTGATCGGAGCTTTTTTGCGGAAAAGCGCGTCTAGGTTGGCCATGGACTCTTTTCCACAAAAAGTGCTTTTGCGGAAAAGCGTCTTGCCAATCTAGACACGCTTTTCCGAAAATGCTTTTAATGGAAAACTTTTCCGTTAAAAGCATTTCCGGAAAATCATGCCAGTGTAGACATAGCCATAGGGTACATCTACACAGCAACGTTATTTCAAGATAATTAACATTATTTCAAGATAATTAACATTATAATTAACATTATTTGGAATTAGCTATGCAGGCGTCTCCACAGCCATTTCGAAATAACGGACGGCTTATTCCAAAACCTGTAAACCTCATTCTATGAGGAATAATGCCTATTCTGAAATAGCTATTTTGAAATAAGGCGTGTGTAGACACTCCCCTGCTGCTATTTCGAAATAGTCCCTCACCAGGGCCATTCTAAGTTATTCCTCCTGGGGCTCTAAATCGAAATAGCACGTCTGCATTAGGGAACCCTGCCTCAGACTAATTTTGAGGCTTCCCTGCAGTGTAGACGTGCTGTTTTGAAATAAGCTATTTTGGAATAACTATCAACCCTCTTTAGTGACACTGTGATGATTTACACCTGATGAGGATTGGGTGCTGTGTGTGTCACTCTCCCTGCAGCACTTAGCAGACAAGGCCTTTGTGAGAGGCAAATTCCAGAGGAGGATACATGATTGTAAAGCACTTTATGCACTAGCACGTCACTATGTTGTTTTCCTGGCAAGGAAAGTGCTGCTTACTGCTTTGGTCCATCATTGTATGAACCTGAAGGAAGGGGGCTATGCAATTTCCAGAAAGATCTGAGAAATACAAGAGTTTAGCACACGGCATCAGAGGCAGCCTGCGAAATTCATCAACCTGCTTTTTGCCTTGGCCAAAACATGCTACGTCTCCACTACAGAATGAAGCCAGGGTGATTTTATTGATTGCGTGGATGCCGTTGGACCTCTTCCCCTCCACCACAAAAGAAACTCCCTTGTGTGGCTGAAGAGCTGACGGCGGGCTTGTGGAGTGCTAATCTCAGCAGTGGCTGCTCTCCAGCAAAACCTACCTTAAACTGCCCAGGAATTGCTGAGCAAAATCCTAATCTGAGTTGCAGCCTTCAGCGATTTCCAAAGCTGCTCTGTGAAAAGCTGCCAGCTTTCCTGGTTTTATTTGGAGATTTACAAAATATGTCTGCCCAGCCATCAGGGTGAATGTAGAGAAATGTTAGAGAAATGTTACACCGTGTGCCCAGCAACAGACATGCTGCATTTGAAGCTGCCCTTCCCGGTGGAAATGTATGCTACTCCAAAGGCAAACCCATGCATAGTCTACTAAGGACCACTGAGCCAGACAAAGCGACCCCGGGCAATGGCATTGCACCAGGCGGTCATGTAGCCAAGTTCCCAGATCTGGCTCTGTAGGATTTGCATGCTAGACCGACTTGAAAATACTGAAGGAGTGAACATCGTCTTACCTGGTGCTGTCCTTGCTTTTCCATTGATGTTTGTTTAAAATGTTTTGTGCTCTGTGGCTGGCCACAGCACATTATGTGCCACCCAGCGAATGCACTCACACAAGCCGGCTGGCTTCCATGCAGTGCATGGCTGCCTGTGAGAGCATGGACAGACTTTGTATTGAACCTGCAGACAACTGGGCGGGGGAGCAGACAGAGGAAAGACGCCAGTGACTGCTGAATGTTTGTAGGTCGACCACTTTTTGGTCCATTCCATGGTCCTTACTCAATTGGGACAGTGTCAGTCACTGGTTGGAGCACTGGGAGCCCGAGGTGGTTTCCATTGGTAGCTCAGCCACAGAGCCTGGGCAAACACTTTCCTTTTCTGTGCTTCTGTTTCCTCACATACATTTAGTTCTGTTTAGCTCAATGGTACTTTCCTCTTGTTGCTCCCCCTTAACAGGAGTGGAATCTGCCTCCTCCCATTATTGCACAGCCAAAGGTTCCTCGGCTGAGAGCAGAGCTGGGGACAGGGAAGGAGCTGGGGCTAAAGGCAGAGCTGACCCAGGGGGAGGGGAGGAGGAATGGGGCAGATCTGGGCTGGAGGTGGGGTGGGGGGTGGTTCTGTCCTTGCCCCTCATGAGGGCTAGCCTGGGCCTTGCTCATGCTCCCACCCCCCCGGGACATTTCTCTATTCCCCCGCAGGTGGCTTTGCTCCCCTCCCCCCAGTTTAGAGACCTTTGACCTAGATGATAAGCTCTGTGGGGCAAGGCTTGTCTCTGAGGTATGTGCAATGTCCAT